TGAACCTCTGACTGGGTTGTGAGCTTCAGGCTTGACTTTCAGGACGCAAGAAGTGGGCAGAGTCTGCCGCCAAAGCCATGGTCAGAGGTCCCAAGCCACTATGCTTAGCAGGGTTTTTTTTGTTGTTGTTGTTGCTGTTTTTTGCAGATTTAAAAAAAAGGCTAAAAAATGCACAGTAAAACAGGTCCAGATGGAACAAACCTCTAAAAAGGTTCCAGTGTGTTTAACAATGTACATAGGCTTAAGTAAAGAAAATGGTTATAGATAGTCATAAAAAGAAATAAATAGATTAAAAATAATAAAATATTTAAAGAGACAGTAAAAGAAAAAAGCCTAAAAGAGATAGGAAATACACAGTCAGTCTGGATCCTGTATAGTATTGTGTTGATTTTGAATTTTTTGATGGCTGATGGGCAAGAGACAGCTGCTGAGAGACATGGGATGGTAAGCAAGACTGTAGGATTGCGCCAACCTAGATACTTTAGGGCTATCTTAACTTTAAAATGGAAGTAAAAAAATATTTTTGTCAAATAGAAATAAAAAATGCTTTGAAGAAGAGGGTTTAGTTTTGTTTCCACAGGAAACAAGAGGCTGTGGATTCATTCCAGGTTAATATGGATCAGGTTTGATCAAGGGAGATCTCCTGAAACTCAACAGGTGATATCTATCAACAAAGGTTATACCTAGTCTTCCAAAGACTTGGCCATTATCTCAAATTTTCTCTCTAGGACCCTAAAGATGCTTCTTCCATAGATAGCAGGAAGCAGTTAGAAAAACTGGCATCCACATTCTTAAGAGTTGGGGTGTAGGAGGCTCTTGGTTATTTGGTGGGTTATGGATATTTGTTATAATTTAGTGGAATATAAGAATATAGGATAAAAAGACAACTATTCATCTCAGATATTTTGCATTGGCATGGATTCTGTTATATTGATATAAATTTAAAGTTATTTTGTTATACTGTATACTTGTTTTTTGAAGAGACAGGGTTTCTCTGTATAGCTTTGTGCCTTTCCTGGATCTTGCTTTGTAGACCAGGCTGGCCTCGAACTCACAAAGATCCGCCTGCCTCTGTCTTCTGAGTGCTGGGGTTAAAGGTGTTCACCACCACCACCCGGCAAAATTCTTGTTTTTGAAAGCTATTATTATGAACTATTTAGGGATAATCAAGAAACAGATCAGAAGTTAGTCATTTATAACAATTAAATTTGTAGATATGTTAGGTATGTTTTCAAGATCATATAGAGATATATTTTAGATGAGTGAATGGTTTTCAAACACTTCAAAGACCTATATAATACGGCTTTTAAAGTTTTTTGTTAACCTAAGGTTTTTTGTGACAATGGCACACATCTGCTCCTGGCAGCATGAATTTACTTTAGAAGATGATGGTCATTGAAGAAACTCCTTGTAGAGTTTGCTTTCACTGGGCAAGGTTAGCCACTGGACAAAGAAGCTGCTCTTGCCTTTGACTGCTGACAATGTGCTGTACAGACTGGACATGCAGGACACAAAGGAAAAAGACTGTTAAATTTTGCCAAAACAAGGCAGGACAGTCTTTCAAAATTCCTGCTTTACAAAAGAGTCTGCTGGATATTCTGGGCTTATAAGCTGAAGATGGATGTCTAATGTTGCAGAGGAAATTTGAGTGACTATCCAGGCAGGCAAATGTTTCTATTATTAGATAATATTATGTCCTCCTGGGGGCCTTTGATGGAGCTGAAGTCTAGATGTTATAGCTGCATTTTTTCTTAGTTAGAAAGTAAATTAGGTAGAAAACTTTAGAGTCACTAAGATGGGATGGATAGTGTCTTCTCTGAATTTGCTAAATACAAACAGACTGAATATTGTAAGTTAATTCTTACTTGATAACTGTTTTTGTTGTGTATAGTTTTACTACATTAAAGTTAAAACCTTTCTTTTTATTTAGACAAAAAGTGGGAAATGTTTTAGAATATTATTTAAGGTGTGTTACTTTTGTTTATGTTGCATTTGTTTAACTCTGTGAAGCTGTGCTACTGTGCCTGTCTAAAACACCTGATGATCTAATAAAGAGTTGAATGGCCAATAGTGAGGCAGGGAAGAGAAATAGGTGAGACTGGAAGGCAAAGAGAATAAATAGGAGAAATCTGGGAGGAAGAAGAAAGAGCAAGAGAACAAGGAGAGGAGGACACTAGGGACCAGCCACCCAGCCACCCAGCCAGCCATGGAGTAAGAGTGAAAATAAGATATACAGAAGTAAGAAGGCTTTGTCCTTTTTTGGTTATTATCTCATTCTGGCTTAGGCCTGAGTACATGTTGTTCTCCCTGTCCTGCTGACGAGGGTGTTGGAGATTGATTGTCCTTTATTCACGGCTCTTTTAGAAACTGTTTATTCAGTCTTCAGAAACTAAAATTGAGGCCTGATCTCTAAGAGAAGACCTAGCAGCCTGTTATATGGTGTTGGCTTGGTCCTCTCAGAAATCATGCATCTATATCCCTCCTCCCAATTTCTCTCTCTCTGCCCAGAAGTCTGGCCTATCCTCTCCCGCCTAGCTATTCAGCTCTTTATTACACCAATCACAGCAACACATCTTCACATGGTGTACAAATATCTCACGACAAAGTATTGATTTATTGACTTATTTAGTGGTTAACTTAAAGCACTGCCTGTACTACTTATTTGCCAAGCATGACTTCACTTGCTAACCTGGAAGAGAATGACCTGGAAAAATAGCTGAAACAATGGATCATTGCCCTTAATAGCCTGCTGACTGCCACGTTGGCCTCTATAAAATCTCAGTGGCTTGCCCACCCCACTGTGTGGTTCTAGAGTATAAAAAGACAGTAAAAGTGGACCAGCATTGAAGCCTTTCAGGAGCTGTCCTGGCTTCAGTCCACCAGTGACATCTCCTCTCTTCCACTCCCATTGGTGTCAGAATGCTTAATCTAGAAAGATTCCCACAACATTCTCATCCTTATGACACAAGGTTGGCTCCACAGTGGAAACCATTGTGCATAACACAGCCATAAAGACAAAATTCATTTGAAAGGCTTAGCAGTGACTTCTCATGTGAGTTTCTTGTAACTATCTCAAAGTATAAGAAGTCAAAATGAATGTTTTATTCCGTTGTAAGTTTCGAATAAGCAGACCTGTGCGTGAAATCACAGTGAAGTGACCAAAGATAACTAATAAACGTAATAAACTTTACTGTAAGATCTCCACTCACATTCAAACATCTCCCTTCGCGAGCCAAGGATTTTGAGAGCAGCCGGACTCCCTGCGTGCCTCCCTCTAGCGGCGGAGACTGCACGTTTCACTCCTTTCCCACCGTCACACGCCTCCAGCGACCCCGGGACTCTCTGTTACACAGACTTATGGGAAATGTAGTCTCACCCACTGTGACGTCACAAGCCAGGCTGGCGGCGCGGCGCCTTCAGAGTTCGTTCTGCGCGTGTCCCGCCCTCACGCGGCTTCCCTTTCCAATTTAGGGTCACGTTTCCTACTGCCCTGCTGGGGTTGGATCTCTGAGTGAAGGTTGGTTCAGGGGGCAGGGCAGCCCACCCGGCCTGAGGGGTTGATTGTGCAGGGTGAGCCGGTAGGTCCGTCTTGGAAGGAGTGGGCACGGGGCACCCGGGAGGCAGGGAGAGAAGCGGCTCACTTTGGAGGGGCTGTTCGGACCGAGGCTGGGCCACTGAGCCTGGACTGAGGTCCGTGCTTGGGAGAGGGCGATAAGGACGGTGCTGGGAGCCAACACCAGCCTGCTGCTGCTGCTTCAGGCCACCCAGGATCGCGCTCCCTCCCCGGCAGGGCCGGTTAGCCGACTGCCGGCCCCTGAGGCTGTGCCCCGGGGGGACTCACTTTTCAGCTCAGCCTGGGGAAGCGTGCTGCCACCGGCTGACTCACTCTCACAGGGCTGCCGTCCGGTTTCTCAGCGTGTCTAGAGAAGAAAAGTGGAGTTTCTGGTCCCTGCTGCACTTTAGAGCCGCGTCGTGCTCGTGTTTATAGAGTTGGTAAACCACCTAGTATTCACGTTTATGAAGTTAATAAACTCTTATCTCAGATTCGAGAAAACGAGGGAGGCAAGAGGAGGGGGCAGGAACAACGTGGCCGAGTTGCACTGGAGGAGAGCAGTCAGATGTCTCTGGCTTCTCTCTCAAAATCTCCAAGGCACCTCGACAAGAGTCGAGAGTTCTCATGACTTCCGCTCTCTCCATTGTGTTGTTCTAGGCCTGTGTCTAGGACCAGCTTCCATTGAAGGAGGGCGCGACAGAGACTCCATGTTCTGATTAGGGGAGGAGTATGAATGTGCAGCAATTCTGAGGGAATCACGGTTTGCTCCCTGTCCAGAAAGGATTTGCGTTTCTTTCTTTTTTTTTTTTTTTTTAAGATTTATTTATTATGTATACAGCATGTTTGCCTGCAGGCCAGAAGAGGGCGCCAGATCTCATTACAGATGGTTGTGAGCCACCATGTGGTTGCTGGGAATTGAACTCAAGACCTCTGGAAGAGCAGTCAGTGCTCTTAACCGCTGAGCCATCTCTCCAGCCCGGATTTGCGTTTCTTTCACCTAGAAAGTAAACTTTGCCAGACTCGTGTCCTCAAATATTTGCTTTTAAAGCCCACCTAATTGAGTCCACGGTGGCTGGCCTTCTGCCCTCCACCCACAGGCAGCCCCCAGTGAGGACAGCGGCCTGAGCATAGCGGACACTTCCCATTGTGAGCAGTGGCCTGTGCTGGGCGGCATTAGGGACGGTCCCTGCGGTTAGTTCTTCCATTGGGAATCTGCACTAGTTCTCTTGGAGGAGGACTGCTTCCATCTTCGCCCCGCTCTGGGCTCTTGTGGTTCTCTGAGCTGAGCAGTTTTCCTGCCAGCTGGCAGCCATCTTCTAGGTAAAGAACAGTGGAGGATGTGTTTTCCATTTCTCACTGTGGAGAACCTTAGGCAACGTCTAATTTATTATTATTATTATTATTATTATTATTATTTTTTTTTTTTTTTTAAAGAAAATACTGGGTGGTTGTTTGAAACTTCGTCTCTGCCCTGTGATCCTCAGGCAAGTTTATTAGGGTACACAATGTATCACCACACTGTGTTTTCTATTAAAAAACTCTACTTGTGACTTGGGGAGCTTTTAGGCTTCTCCATTGCTGTTTTCTTCTTCTTCTTCTTCTTCTTCTTCTTCTTCTTCTTCTTCTTCTTCTTCTTCTTCTTCTTCTTCTTCTTCTTCTTCTTCTTCTGTTTTCTTCTCTCCTTCTCTTCCTCCTCCTCCTCCTCCTCCTCCTCCTCCTCCTCCTCCTTCTTCTCTCTCTCTCTCTGTCAATGAGTATTTGCCTATGTGTATGTCTGTGAACCACTTGCGTGCCTGGTGCCCACTGAAGCCAGATGAGGGTGTGGGGTCCCCTGGAACTGGAATTGCAGATGGCTGTGAGCCAACAGGTGGGTGCTGGGAATCGAGCTCAGGTCCTCTAGAAGAGCAAGCAGTGTTCTTAACCTCTGAGCTGTCTCCTCAGACTCTGCTATGCTCTTTCGATGGAAGGTATTTTTTAGGATAGTTGTTTAGAAAGTATAGGTCTCCCAGGTCTCTTCACTGCAGCTCTCCCCAACTGGATCTAGGGTGGACCCTTTGTTCTGTGGACTCCTCTCCTCTGGGTGTACTAGTGAGCGACTGCCTGAGAACCTTCAGTTCCAAGGCTCTGCTTGTGTATTCTTACTGTTCTTTTTTATCCATCAGTGGTGATGTATGGGCCTGTTTCCCCAGCTGCTGTTTCTGCTGAGAAAACCTCGTGAGGATTATTGAGACGCTCCTGTGTCAGGAGCCACTGTTACCTTAGCCCCATGTGCATTTCTTTAGGGTTGTCTAGATCAGCATTTGATGAAACCTTTAATTTGTATGGATCACTTTTTTTCAAATTATGTGAGAACATAGTTCCTAAAATAATGTCTTCCATATTTCTCTGTCTTGTTTTTGTGAGGGAAGACTTTACATATCATAGGCTAGCCTTAAACTCCCTATACAGATGAGACTTGACTTGAACACTTGGAACTGTGTCTATCCCTTCCATGAACTAAAATGATGGACATGGCCCACCATCCTGAATTCCTCTTTTCTCCTTTATTCTGTGTTGTGTCACGTGAATCGGTTGCATCCCCTCCCGTGCGTGTTACTGTGTTGATTGGCTGATTCATTGGCTGTGTGTCTGTGTGCACATGTGGAACCACTTACCATGCTGTTCCTGTGCAGGCTAGAGGAAAGTTTAGATTTCTTTCCTTCCACAATGTGGGACCAAGGTCCCCAGACTGGGCAACAAGAGACTGTCCTGGGATAGAATTACCAGAACTTGTGAAATATTATAGGATCATGTCTTCTAGGCTATAGCTTGAATTCTAATTAGTCTTAATAATAAAAACCCAGAGTCAGATATAGGGATAAATGCTGAAAGATCAGAGAGACAAAGGAGCAAGCCACTGCCACTTATTACCTCACCAGTTCCTCAACCTGAAAGGGGTGTTTCTGTGTTGTGCCCCCCCCCAATCTTATATTCCTCTCTCTGCCCAGTCATGTCACTTCCTGTTTCCACTTCCCTAGTGTTGGGATTAAAGGCATGAGCCTCTCAAATACTGGGATCAAAGACATGAGATTCCAAGTGCTGGGATCAAAGGCATGAGCCTCTACCGCCTGGCTCTGTTTCTCTTTTAGAGTGGATCAATCTTATGTAGCCCAGGGTGGTCTTGAACTCCTGATTTGCCTGCTTCCTCCACCCAAGTGCTGAGATTAAAGGTATGTGCCACCACTGCCTGGCCTCTATGGTTAACTAATGGCTAGCTCCGCCCTCTGATCTCCAGGCAAGCTTTATTTGTTAGAGCACAACAAAATATCACCCCAGTAGTCACTTTTCATTGGCCTTGATCTACCACTCAATGTGTAATGCTCTTTCACTTGGAGGTTGAGGGACATAAGTCAGAATTCAGTGCCTTGGTCAGGCCTGAAACAAGCTAGAAATTGGAAGCCTGTCCCACTCAATATCCTGAGGAACAAGTCCAAATGTTGGAGACTGTCCTCTGAGTCATGCCTTGCTGCTCTACGTGTGAGCAGGGAGCGGGCAAGCACAGCATTGTGACTTTTTCTCCTGTCTACCACTCTGCTGGGAATTGAACCCAGGCCTCACACGTCTAAGAACTTGTCCCCTGAAGCTGTGTTCCCAGGCCTTGCTATTCTTTTTAATGTTCCTGCTCTCCATCTGTCATCGTCCTGAGTGCTACAACTCAGCAACAGTTGGTGGGTTCCTCCCGAAAGTCTGTTCTGGCATAGCTTGTCTTGGTCAGCACTCTACCGTACATTTCCATCGGGAGTATTTGGATCTTCCTGTATTTCTGAGGGATTGGCAGTGTTTTCTTCGTATTCCATTGGGTGGCTTGATCAACTTGAAATTCATGAGTTAGGAAAAGAACACTGAAAAGAAATCCATTCAGCTCCCACTTAATATGCAGAATGCATTGGGGTGTACTGGGAATAAGGATTAAGACTGAAAACAACTAAGTGTATTTTGGTTTCATTCATGTATCTGAGCTATTCATGGAATTCATATTTTAAAGAAAATTTACTGCAGTGGACAAACGGCTGAAAATTGTAAACTATAGCTCAGAAAACATAAAAAGGGAAATGTTAATATAGAAATGAACAGCTGCCACACTGTTATTTTTTATTTTCTTTCATGCTCCTCCGTGGTGTCCATAGAAAGAGCCAAAGTGCCCTCTTCCCACAAATGCACGGTCTGCACAGTTGCACAGTTTTCCTGTTGTCAGCCAGGAACACGTCCTGGTGCTTCTTCCCACACATAGCCCCCGTTTCCACTCTTGCCACAGCAGGTGAAAATGTTACTCTACCATGTGTCTATGTGTGATAGTTCTTCATAATAGTTTTCTTATTTGTTACAAAAGCAGATCTCAGCACTATTTTGATGCAGGTATGTTAATTTTTTATATTCATTTTTATTTTCTAACTAGAAGGTCATCTAAAATGGGATGGAATGCAACTTGTAAAAATCACTTGAATTTAGCTGAGGGTGGTGGCACACGCCTTTAATCCCAGCACTGGGAAGGCAGATCTTTGTGAGTTCGAGGCCAGCCTGGTCTACAGAGCGAGATCCCAGGACAGGCACCAAAACTACATGGAGAAACTCTGTGTCGAAAAACAAAAACAAAACAAACATACATCAGACAATCACTTGAATTTTGACAACGTCCTAAATGAGAAGTGAACAAGAAGTGCTGTACATGTGCATAGGAGGTGTTCAGGTGCATAGGAGGGTGGGTTTCTGCTTGCTTTCATGTTCCACTCACTTTGGTTACTCTTTTTTTTCTTTTATTTCCTTTTCTATTTATTTGTTTGTTTGTTTGTTTATTTATTTATTTATTTATTTATTTATTTTTCGAGACAGGGTTTCTCCTTGTAGCCTTGGCTGTCCTGGAACTCCTTAGACCAGGCTGCCCTCGAACTCAGAACCTGCCTGCCTCTGCCTCCCAAATGTTGGGATTAAAGGCGTGTGCCTTTAATCTGTCCAACTACTGCCCCAGCTTTGGCTGCTTTTTTTTTAATCATTTACTTTAAGTCAGTGTGTGTTTTTAAAACTAAGATTAATTTCTTTTCAACAATAGAAAGATAGGTTTTGTTTCTTAGTCCATTTAGCCTGTTTTGTGGTTGGAAGGTCTATTGATACTTAAAGTCATTATTGCAGAGTGTGCATGGTTGCGGCCCTTTTGTTGTTGGGCTGTTTGTTATTTGTTGTTTGCATTCATACTTTGTGTGTGAGTAATTAGACCTTCCTTTGTTTCCTTTCTACAGTCTCGTGGCTGTGTTTGTCCGCTCTCCAGTCTAAAGTATTGCTGCTAGGGCTCTCTTTTGGGCTGGTGTGATTGACATGAATTCTGTTAACCTGTTTGTATCCTGCAAAGTTTTCTTTTCTCCTTTTAGTTGCTGAGTATAGTAGTCTAGGTTGGGATCTCTGGTCTCGTGGAACTTGGAGTGAAATATCCCAGGATCTTACAGATTTCAAAAAATTTCTGAAACTTAATGAACTTAAAGTAGTCCTTTGATGAAAATTTATATCTTTAAGAGTATTTGTTAAAAATCATAAAGAACACAAATAAATGTATCATGAAGTCATTTATTTTGCAAGAATTGTGCAAAAGAGCAACAAACCAAACACAAGTCCAGTAGACAACAATGATAAAAATCAGAGCATAAAGTGGTGAAGTAGAAACCAAGAAAACTATCAAAACAACCAATGAAACTCAGAGCTTGTTCTTTGGGGAGAAGGCAGACAGACTGTTGGCTCCACTAACTGAAAGGAAGAACTAGTGAAGAGGACCAGGGATAAACAGGGCAACACTACAGCGGACACCAAAGAAACCCAGTGTTCTAAGGGAGCACTTAGAACCTTCCCTCCATTCCATTGGAAAATATAAAAGAAACGCTCACGTCTAGATTCCTCCAAACCATGTATGCTGAACTAAGAGGAGGTCAGCAGCCTGAACAGACCCTACAAATGCGGGGACTGAAGCAATAATTCAAAGCGTTCTCTCTCTCACACACAAAAACCAACAACCCTCTCCCCACCAAAAAGTAAGAAAGAAAGAAAAGCAATCCCAGATGGACTCACACAAGAATTCTAACACGCTTTTAAAAGAATATCTACAGCCAGTACTTCTTAAAACATTAAAAAGGAAAAGAAGAAAGAAAGGGGAGTACTTTCAAACTCCTACAAATTCAGTATTACTACTGAACTCCGTGCATACTAGGAAATTCAGACAGCGCCTGTACCAGTTCTGCATTTTCATTTCATTTCACATTGATTCTGTGTGTTACCTGCCGAGAAGTAACTTCTCACACGCTATGACTTTCTCCTGTGAGAAATGTGTATAAAGTGTGATGCATATTACAAGTGTGTGTATGGTTTCCATCCCCTACTAGCTGTATTCATTTGACACTTAGCATTCTTAATTATATGATAGCCATATGCACTTATAGGACCTTTTGCCATGCTCTTTAGATGGGTAGTTTGTGAGATCATATGACTATATCAAAAATAAGTTAGTAATATCATTTACCCATGTCAGAAGCATTTCTAGCTCTGCTTTTCCCTTAGGTAAACTTTAGAATGGTGTTCCCAAGCACATAATGCCTATTGGCATTTGTATTACTATTAATGGTTTTAATTAGTTTAACTAATGGTTTTAATTAGTTTAATGTGTGATATTTATTCATTGATCTTTATTTCAGAACATGCTGTCATTCAAGGATGTGGCCATTAATTTCTCTGCAGAGGAGTATGAATGCCTGGACTCTGCTCAGTGGAATCTGTACAGGGATGTGATGCTCGAGATTTACAGCAACCTTGTGTTCCTGGGTGAGGGTCATGTCCATAGTGAATTCCTAATTCACTATTAGCATGTAACCTCCTTTTATAGACCATCTCATGGGAGCTTGCACTTTCTAACATGGTCCATATAGGCCTGCTTTTTTGTTTGTTTGTTTTGAGACAGGGTTTCTCTGGCTATCCTGTAACACACTCAGTAGACCAGGCAAGCTAGCCTTGAACTCAGAGATCTGCCTCTTGCCTCCCAAGTGCTGGGGTTAAAGGCTTGAGCCACCATGCCCAGCTCATAGGACCGCTTTTCAGGCAGAATTGTTGCTGTAACTAAGACAAATTTCATTTAATTTCTTCTTGTGCTTTTCATCTATTTATTTGAGTGTGTGCATTCTTCACTGTAGTTATAATGTCAGAAATTAAATGGAGTGAGGCACGGAACACACATGGAAAAGAAAATGTTTTATTCTTTTCTGATGTTATAGTTTTCCTTGTAAATGACAGAAATGAAGATCTGTGATTATAAATCCCTCCTAAGGAAGTATTCTAAAATGCCTATCAGGAACAATTTGAAAAGCTAATTTTCTAGTCATTTATTTATTTATTTATTTATTTATTTATAATTTTTTGAGATTTATTTATTTTTTATGTATATTGTGCTCTATCTGTATGCACACCTCCATGTCAGAAGAGGGAATCAGATTCCATTATAGATGGTTGTGAGACACCATGTGGTTGCTGGGAATTGAACTCAGGACCTCTGGAAGAGCTGCCAATGCTCTTAACCACTGAACTATCTGTCCAGCTGCCTCTACAGTCATTCATTGTATCCTTTTTTTCTTCCTTAGAAGCACAATAATGGAATACAAATGTTAATTCTCTTCTTTGTCCCTGTGTGAACAGGCCTTTCTTTCTCCAAGCCATTACTGGTCAGATTTCTGGAGAAAAACCAAGAGCTTCGGAATGTGAAGAGTCACGCAGCAGCTGTGCGCCCAGGTGTGTAGGAATGAGGGGTCAGAGGGCGGGGTTGGAGGTCAGATCCAACGGAGGGTCAGAGGGCAGAGTAGGGGGTCAGATCCAACAGAAAGCCAGGCTTTACCATGTACGTTGAGCTGCATTTTCTGTTTGCTGGTAGAAACAAGTTCGTAGCTACCCCTCTTTATGACTTCCGTTGTCAGAGAAGGGCCTCTCGCAGCTGATTATAGTGCTTCAAGTCTCTCAGCGTTGAGCTCTGCTTATATTTTTAGTGATTGCCAAAGTACTGCATTTTGGTGAGAGTCTACATTGCAGTAGACTTTTCACTATTTCCTACACCTCTGAAAATTTGCCCACATTTCTAAAGATATACCTGTGAAGCTTTTGTATTCAGTAACTCATACATACACTTAAAACATTATTTTTTTTGAGATCATATCATTTCCTTCCTTTCCTTCTTTCTAAACCCTCCCATATACTCCCCCTTGCTCTCTTTCAAATTCATGACCTCCTTTTTAATTATTTGTTGTTAAATGAGTGTCTGTATGTATACTTACATTCCTAAATAAACTGCTCAGTCTGTATAATGTTACTTGCATGTATGGTTTCAGGACTGAACATTTGGTATTGGATAACCAATTGGTATGCTCTTCCCCGAGGAAGACTATTTTTCCTTCTCTCCACATTTCTTGGTTGCCTGTAGTTCTTTGTGCACGGTTAAGGCCTTGTGGGCTTGCCCTGTCCACTCTGGTATGTGTATTTGCTGTCGTTGTCTAGCTCTTTTTTAGGGAGTCAAGTTGGTGAGACGTTAAGTGTAGTTTCTCACATCACTAGGAGACACTGTCCCACCGTACACTTCCTGATCCTCTGACTCTTGACGATTGTTTCAGACCCTCTTCCACAGTGGTCCCTGAGCCGTAGGTGCAGGAGTTGTTTTGGAGATGTGTGATGAACTAGGCTCCACAGCTGTACATTTTGATCATTTGAGGTTTCCTGTAATGGTTTCTTGTGTATTGCAAAGAGAAGTGCCCTTGATGAGGGATAAGGACTGCACTTCCCTGTGGGTGTGAGGACAAACATTTAGAATGCAGTGTTAGAGATTATGCTAGTTTAGAAGAGTGGTCGCTGTAGGTTCTTCAAGATCCATGATTTCATTAACTCTGGATAGTTGGCTACATTTCCAATACCAGGCATGATTTCTCTTATTGAGTAAGTCTTAAATTAGAGAGCTGTTGGTTACCACAGAGGTATGCTTGTCAATACTGAACCCTTAGGATTGTTGTGCCATGCTGGTCATTGTTGGAGTTCATAGGCATCAGGACTGGATAGGACTTTTGGTTGCTCCCCTTCTTTGGATGCTTGCATGGTGCCATCTGTTACCACGAAAATTAGTCCTCAAGGAGGAAGCATCCAGGTCTTTTCCGGCTCTTGGGACTCTGGACCCTGTGTCTTAAGTGCGTGCTGTTTTCAGCAGTAGGAACTCACCTTCCACCTCTGATGAGCAACCAAAGGCATTAATAAGAGTCTGCAATGTTGTGGGAGTCTCTTGGACAACCTTGACTAATTACTCAAAAGAAGCTTTCTCATGCCTGGTGTTGAGGTTTTTTTTACATGGTCTTTGCTCTTGGAGGGAGCATTGTCAGCTCAGATGGGAAAACTTCATTGAAATTTTATATGCATATTTATACCCAGATTTCCATGTACTACAATACATATAGTTTTAGGTAGATACTTAAGAGTATGAGCCCTTATAATATTATATTTTTGGTTGTGAGCCTAGCCTTTAACGGCTGAGCCATCTCTCCAGCCCCCTTATAACTTTTTAAGAAAACCTTACTGTTATTTTTCCTCTTCCCTCCTTCTGTATTATCTCCCTCTCTGATTACAATTCCCCCTTTTGTCCTGTCACGTTTCTTTTTTTTTTTTTCTTTGATTTATTGATTTACTTATTTAGAGACAGGGTTTCTCTGTGTAGTCCTGGCTGTCCTGGACCTCACTTTGTAGGCCAGGTTCACCTTAGACTTCTTTAAAATGTGTTAATTGACAGGTGTGTTGTTAGCAAAATTATGTCATTTATAGCAAAACTTGACATTTTTTCCTAATATTATCTTTCTGATATTTATACTCTTGTCATTAAAATATAATATAAAGCCTACTAAGTAAATTGATGAGAGATATTATTTAATGGTGTGATGAGCCGTCTATGGAAAGTCGCCTGTTCTGCAGCCTGTGTTTTCTATGTTCCACAACTAAAACTTCACGCTTAGGATAAAACATTATCTTTTTCCCTGTCTGCCCAGTTTGGCACAATCGTCATTAACTTCCTGTTTTTCTAGATTGGCTACTTCAGAATTTTCCTGTGTATACACTCATACAGTTTCTCTGTTTGTTTAATGGACTTCTTTCTGTTAGCATAACGCCTGAAAAGTTTCCATTACTATCTGTGTTACAACTTTTGGAGCTATTTAAATTTGAATTATGTTCCATTATTCTTAGATCCTATTTTATTGTTTTCTTCCTATTTCAATTGAAGTTTAAATGATTTCCACATACAGTGGAAATTTTAGGTGTTGAACATGTTATAGTTTATTTATCCATGGAAATGAGTTATAGTCTCCATGTTAAAGATAAACATTATAAATATGACAAATGTTCCTAAGCTTTTCTTCATTTCCTTTTACTCACCAGGAAAGAAACCTTATAAATGTAAAGAATGCGGCAAAGCCTTTGCTAAGAACTCAATTCTTACTTATCATCTGAGAATTCATACCGGAGAGAAACCCTACAAGTGTGATAAATGTGGCAAAGCCTTTTCAGTGCCTTACACACTTCATAATCACCAGAAAGTTCACACTGGAGAGAAACCCTACAAGTGTGATGTATGTGGCAAGGCCTTTACTGTGCCTTCCACACTTATTAACCACCATAAAATGCATACCGGAGAGAAACCCTACAAGTGTGACGTATGTGGCAAGGCCTTTTCTTTGCCTTCCACACTTACTAACCACCAGAAAATTCACACTGGAGAGAAACCCTATGAGTGTGAAGTATGTGGCAAAAAGTTTTCCAGTCCTGCAGACTTTAAAAAACACCAAAGAGTTCATACTGGAGAGAAACCTTACAAGTGTGAAGAATGTGAAAAACCCTTTAGTAGTCTTTCAGACCTTAGTAGACACAAAGTTGTTCATACTGGAGAGAAACGTTACACCTGTGAAAAATGTGGCAAAGCCTATAATAGGAGTCACCACCTTAATCGACACAAGCAGGCTCACACTGGACAGAAATCCTATAAGTGCAAAGAATGTGGCAAAATGTTTTACTATGCTTCAGGCCTTAAAAGACATCAAAGAATTCATTCTGAGGAGAGGCCCTATGAGTGTGAGGAATGTGGCAAAACCTTTCCCTGTCCTTCAGATGTTACTCAACATGCGAGAACCCATAAGAGAATGAAGCAATACACCTGTGAAAAATGTGGTGAGTGCTTTACTATTCAAACAACCTTTTCCAATCTCCGTAAAATTCGTCTTGAGGGAAAACCATCTGAATGTGAAAGATGTCGAAAGAGCTTTTAAAGGCTCTTAGTAAAACACACGAAGTGTTCAAACAACTAGCCTGCAAATGTGAAAGATGTGGCAACTGTTTTGTGTGTCCTTTAGTTGTTGCTCAACCTCACACAATTCACACCTGAGAGAAACCCTGCATGTGTGCAGAAAAGGACCAGAGGTTAGCTATTCCTGTGTCTTGTGTACAAGCATTGGCAAGTCTGTTCTGATGAGGGAGCCCACAAAAGCAATCAATTTGGCAAGTTCTTTACCTGTTCTTTGCACCTTAAGTATCGCCCCTTCATACTGCGGAGGCACTCTCCATGTACAACAAGCATTGTGCCAAAGCCTTGACTAATACTTCGTCTTCATCACCACCAAAGAACTGACATAGGTGAGAAACTCTGCAGATGTCCTTGTTAGCTTTAAGTGTCAACTTCACATAGCCTATCATTATCTGAGGGACTTTGAACTAGGTATTTGACTCAATTGGATTAGCCAATAGGCATGTCTTTGGGGACATTTTCTTGATTTTTAAGTGATGTACATTAGTCTATCCAAGGATAAGGAGTGCCACCCCAGGGCAAATGTTCAAAGCTATATAAAAATTCTTGGTGAGCACAAGCATGATGGAGCAAGGAAGAAGCTGTTCCATAAACAGTTTTCCATAAACGTATTTCATTGCTACTTTTTAACTGTAATTTTGCTAGTTATGCTTTGTAATGTAAGTGTCTGATATGCAGATGGTCTCAGGTGACCCCTGTGAAAGGGTGGTCTGACCCTACAGGTTGAGAACAGCTACTCTGGTTTCTGCTTTAGTTGCTGCTCTGACTTCCCTCGATGATGAACTATAACCTTTAAGCTGAAACAGAGCTCTCTTCCCCTAAGTTGTTTGTGGTCGTGGCATTTGCCATGGGAAGAGAAATCAAAGTAAGAAAGCAATGAATGTGGGAAGCTTTCATTCTTCTGTCTACTTCAGCTGTCACCAGACTGTACGGGAGATAATGTCACACAGCCTTTACGTTTGTTCAACCTTCACTGGCCACTGGAGCATTCACACTGGAGAAAAGCCCTATTTATGGAAAGAATATGACAAGGACTAGAAAGGAACTTGGTGAAAGTTATTGGATAGCTGTTGAACAGATTCCAATCTCCTGCAATGTTTTCAATTTGTGCGTAAGAGAAACCCTGCAAATCTAAGTGTTAAGAGACATTGTTTATTCTTCGTATATCAGAGAGTTTGTTTTGTTGAGAAACCATATATATATGACATACCTCCTCCAACAAGGCCACATCTCCTAATCCTTTCTAAACAGTCCACCAACTGAGAACCAAGCGTTTAAATATATGTATGAGCCTATGGGTCCATTTGTACTCAAACCACAACGGTAATGGACAATAGCCTTCAACCAGGAGCCAGATTAAACTCTCCTTAAAGCTGCTCATGGACTTTATCACAGCAATTGGAAAAGTTACTAATAAAAATAATAAAAGTGTCCATTCAACATTTGATATGTATGTATCATAGTGTTTTCTTCCTACTCCCCTTTAGTTCCCCTTTGCCCCCTTATTACCCTATTCTCTTTCTAAACTGTTTTCTGCTTACACACACACATACACACACACACACAGAGCCATGTACACAGTCACACACACACACACACATGCACACAGAGGCACACACACACACAGCCATGCACAGTCCCAGATGTAGTATCAATACAGCTTTATGTATAATGAATATTCATTATGTATAATGAATAGCACAGACATGTTTCAGTGTTTCCATGTCTGTGCTATTAGTTACTATGATAATTTTTGTATTTCAATGTTAATATCTTTCATTCAGTTTGAATTTATTTTTGTGTAGGGTAAGAAAAGTGGATCTAATTTCATTCTTCCTTTTGGAAGAATTTGGATATCTAATTTTTTTTTTTTTTAAGATTTATTTATTATGTATACAGCATGTTTGCCTGCAGGCCAGAAGAGGGTGCCAGATCTCATTACAGATGGTTGTGAGCCACCATGTGGTTGCTGGGAATTGAACTCAGGACCTCTGGAAGAGCAAGCAGTGCTCTCAACTGCTGAGCCATCTCTCCAGCCCCCTGGATATCTAATTTTGCCAGCAGCATTTGTTGAAAAGTCTGTCTATATTTTTGGAAATTTTGTCAAATTTATGTGTCCTTTACCTCAATGTTTTCTGTCTGGGTGGTACTTTGCATTCCATTGTTTACATGTTTGTTTTATATGAGTGCCATGTAGTCTTCATCACCAAGGCTATGTAGCATAGTTTGAAGTTGAGTAATATGATACATTTGACTCTTCTTTCTTCATAAATTGCTTGTTTGTGGTCATTTTTGCTTCCATGTAAGTTGTGTGTTTTTCTAGTTCTGTCACTGAGATTTTGCTGTGGATTGCATTGAATGTGTAGGTTGCCTTCATTACACTAAGTGCTTTCACAAAACAGGCTCTGCAAATCCCAGAACATGTGATGTCTTTCTGTCTTATAATGCCTTCCTCTAAGTGATGCTTTTTTTTTTTTTTTTTTTTTTTTTTTTCCAAATTTTGCTTGTAGAAGCCTTTCACCTCTTTGGTTAGAGTCATTCCCAAATAGATTTCCTTCAAAACAAAACAAAACAAACAAACAAACCTACCTTTTAAGACTGTGGTGACTAGGTGCTATTTTTCCTAATTACTTTCTTTGCAAGTATCTTGTTGGTGTATATAAAGGCTAATGATGTTTTATGTTGATTTTGTGAACAGCTATTTTATTGATAGTATTTATCTTTGTCTTAGGGTTTTCATTGCTGTGATAAACCACCATGACCAAAAGCAAGTTGGGGAGGAAAGGGCTCATTTTGTTCTTTAATTCCAGGTAACAATCCATCACTGAGTGAAGTTAGGGTAGGAGATCAGGTGGGGCTGGAACCTGGAGGCAGGAACTGTGGAGAAGCTTTGGAGGAGGTGCTGCTTGCTGGTTTCCTCTCTATGGCTTGTTCATCCTGCCTTCTTATAGCACCCAGGACCTCCAGACCAGTTGTGGCACCACCCACAATGTGCTGGGCCCTCCAGTGTCAATCATCAGTCAGGAAAATGCATCACAGGCTTGCCAACAGGTCAGTGTGGTAGGGGCATTTTCTCAGTTGAGGTTCCCTCTTCCAAAATGACTCTAACTTGTGTCAAGATGACATAAAACTAGCCAGCACCATTATATTTAGAAGTCTTTGGTGGAGTATACAAGAAGATCTTTTAGAGTACATTCATGTCATCTGTAAACTGGCATAGTTGAATTTCTTCCTTTCTAATTTTTTCCTTTGCCTATTTCTATTTTTGTCTTTCTTTAGTTAAGAATTTCATTATAGTATTGAAAATGTAGAGATATTAGGAACCTTTGTCTCATGCTAGAGTTTTCATTTTTCTCCATTTATTGAAGGTTACCAATAGTTTTATCATCCATAGCTTTTTGAAGTTTGTCAAATGACTTTTCTACAAGAGATGATTTCTGTTTGTCTCTGTTTGGTGTATTATATATTGATTTGCATATATTGAGCCAGCTTTCCATCAGGGGGTGGTGCCAGACATAAGATAAAGTTTGACTATAGTTAATTTTCTCTAAAAAAACTATATTAATTAGGGTTATCTGTCTTGTGTGTGTGTGTGTGTGTGTGTGTGTGTGTGTGTGTGTGTGTGCGCGTGCGTGTGTGTGTGTGTGTGTGTGCGCGCGTGCGTGTGTGTGTGTGTGTGTGTGTGTGTGTGTGTGTGTGTGTGTGTGTATTTGGAATATTAGTGTTACAGTGACTCTTTAGAATGAGTTTGGTAGTGTGCATCTTTCTATTTTGTGGAAGGGTTTGAAAAGTGTTGATACTAAACTTTCTTTGAAAGTTTTAATTACTGCTTCAATCTCCTTAGTGCGATGGGTCTGTTTAGGCTGTTTATATCTTCTGGTTTTATTTTCACAGGGCCATAAATACTTATAAACATAGCTGTTTCTTCTAAACATTTCTGAGGTTTTTGGAATATAGGTTTCAGAGTATCCCATGATCATCCCTTTGCTCTGATTTGTTTGGCTAGTGGATGGATACACTCATGTGACCTTTAGTAAAGGACCACTCTTTGCTTAATTCTATATGTTGTTCTTCAGTCTCTAACTTATGAATTATGCCCTGGTTTTTATTATTTTTATTCATCACTATTTTTTGTTAACATCTGTATTTCTGTTTGGCTACTTTTTCACCTTGGAGTTGCATCTTAGATTTTTTCATTTGAGACCTCTTTGCTATTTCAGTTAAGAACTTCTCAGTATAACTGTTCCACTTAGAACTGACTTTCTAATCCTTCAGTGCCACTGCTCATTCAAAGGTGTATCGTTTAGTCACCAATTATTTGTGCATTTTCTCAGGTTAGTCTTTTTATTCCTTTCTAGTTTCAGTACAGTGTGTTTTGATAGGATGCACAAGATTATTTCTTTTTTTCAATTTATAGTGAATTGTTTTGTGGCATGAAATGTGGTCCATTTCAGAGAAGATACCTTTTTTTTTTTTTTTTTTTTTGGTTTTTCAAGACAGGGTTTCTCTGTGTAGCTTTGCGCCTCTCCTGGAACTCACTTGGTAGCCCAGACTGGCCTCGAACTCACAGAGATCCGCCTGGCTCTGCCTCCCGAGTGCTGGGATTAAAGGCATGAGCCACCACGGCCCGGCCGTCAGAGAAGATATCTTATGCCAGTGAGCAGAATATGTATTCCTTATCTGTTGGGTGTCATGTTCTGCAGTTATGTTTTAAACTCAGTTGATACCTTGGAGGATCCTTTGCACCTTGTTTGGAGGACCTATCTAGGATGTGAGAATGCAATATTGAAGTGTCCTGTTTTTATTTTCTCTGAACTGTTTGCTCTTCATGTCTTTTAATGTTATCTAGGTGGAATTGAGAACCTATTGATTTTGTGTAGAAACATTTGCATTAGTTATGTCCATTTTTATGTACGTGTAGTGACTTCATTTCTTCTGATTAATTTTTGTTTGTCATCTCTATCAGTTCAGATTATTTTAATCAGGTTTTTGTAGCTTCATTTGCTTTATGGTTTGATGATCTGGTCCAACAGATCATCCTTCAGTGATGGGGTATTGAGAGAGAGAACCAAGAGATCAGAAAATGCAGAGGAATGAAAATTGAGAAGATTGGGATGGCTGAAGAAACTCTATTTTATCCTAGGCAGGTACCTCCTAGACATTTGTCTCTGGAGGATAAGTTCCCAGTAACCCCACACACAACAAATGTACAGCCAGACTATCTGCCCGTTATGATGTGAGTGACTGCTTTTTGGCTTCTGTGACCTGCTTATGCAGACATTCGAGGACAGATTTGAGGTAACTTTGACTACCTAACCTTGGCAGAACAGAACAGCTCTCTGGCTGCTTGTGCAGCTGCTTAAAGTCTTCTTGTGGTTTTTGCCTTTAAAAGTCCTTCCTTTATTACCCCACCCCCTTTCAGATGGCATCTCAAGTTTGGCTCAGTGAGTATTGTTCTGCTAGCAGCTTTAATAAATTTAACTAATTATATAATCCTGATCAGGTCTATGGTCTTTTTCCAGGAGTCACAAACTCCGTAACAAAGATAAGAAAGTTTGAGGTCAGAAGGTCTTGCACAAGCTATGCCTTATTCCAAACAAGCTTAGTAAGAAGTACAGCATTGTATATAGTCTTGTGGAGGCTAAACTGACGACAAAGTCGTCAGCAGGAAGCTAATCAAACAACATGGCACAAAGGGAACACACAGTATCTCAAGAATATTACAGACCGAGCACACAGCAGCCACGGGACTGATAGCCATATCCCTGTGGGAAGGATTGGGGTCTTAGGATCTGAAGCCACAACTCTCCCAAGGTCCCGGCACCAAGCTTTTCCAAGCCTATTTCTGGTCTTGGAGAAGGAGCTGTGTTCCTTCTCTGTACACCAAGTTCTCAGGGAAAAGCTCCCCAGGCCCTGGCTCTGGGCCATTACTGGCTCTGCCAAGCATGTGCCTGGTTTTGAGAAGTCCAGGGCCTTTTCCATATTTGCGGCCTCTCGGTTATTCAGATTAGCCCTCCACAGTTTGATTTTCCAAGATTTAGCTCTATTTATGGATCTCTTCTCCTAGCTGTTTTTCTTTTGAACTCAGTACATTAATCTCATTTATTGGGTTTGGTAAGTCCACTTGCATTCAGGGTTAGTTATAACTGAGAAGGGTTGGCTTTTGAATATGATTTCATTTTTTCCTCGTGGGTGGCTTCTTTCCATATTGGTTCCTTTCCACATTGGCAGTCTTGGATTATGCTAGAGAAAAGTAGAGATGCCTGTAGGTTAATGAAAACTGTTCCAGTACTGACATATATCTTGTTTATTTGATAGTTGGCTTTTGATTAATAGGAAATTTCTCATTAAATACTGTACTGGATGGTTTTATGACACAGGCTAGAGTCATCAGAGGAAGGAGCCCCAATTGAGAAAATGTCTCCATAAGATTGGGCTGTAGGCAAG